GATGTCGTACTGAAAAATGCTTTAATAATTTCAAAATATTCATGGAAAAACTTGATATTTTTAAGACAATTGGAAAGATTAACGACAGTTCAAGATTAACGGAAAGATTAACGACAGTTCAAGATTAACGGAAAGATTAACGACAGTTCAAACAACACATACTCAGCATTTATGGCCATCGAGCCGACATTGATTGAAAAGAAGATAAGAGCTTTTTTGGAAAGAGCTTTTTCTGCGTCAAGACTACTTATTTGTTATGGGAAAAGGAGGCAGTTTCGGACAAGAGTAGTTTGGGCCAGTGTGAAAATTTAATAAAATACAAACTTACTGATCTATTTAAATGTATTATTGGAAGGGAAATACATTCGCACCTAATCGTCACAAGATTTTTTCAGGAAGGCACTTAGATTTTACCAAAGGTTAATAACTTTTGATAGTTTTTCTGATTTTTCTAATTTTTAAACGTAAGGGTTTACAGAGGAAATTACTTCTCAAAAGAGTTAACTTTTTACACTTTTAGTAAAGGGAATCATTTTCACAATACGAATAAAAGTTCAAATACAAGACATAAAATTTAGTGGAATATATTCTGAAATCAAGGTTGAGGCAGCATTAGACAATTTTCATAAGGAACATTTGGACGTACTGCAGTACGTCCGTAAGTGCGTATGCACGTGCGCGTCTCTTAACAATCTTATCGGCAAATTAAATTATTGAAAATTAAAAAATTAAACAAAGTTTAAGACTGGGGCGCAAGGATATTGGTTTACTGAATAAAAATGCTTAGAAATAATAAAAAATTTTAAAAATGATAACTTTCCCACCAAACTCGGTTGAATGTTATGGACATTAAGGTAAATTATATATATATATATATATATATATATATATATATATATATATATATATATATATATATATATATATATATATATATATATATATATATATATATATATATATATATATATATATATATATATATATATTCAAGATACTTCAAGATAATTTTATAGAGAAATATTTTTATATTTTATGAAGCTTTCTTACTATTTAATTTTTTCTCTATTCATATTTACGTCATCAAAGTGTATAAAATAAAAAGTTTATGAATTAAACTCACGCTTACTGTTAATGAAAGTTTTATTGATAATTCATCCAAGTATCGAACTATGCATATTTATTCATTTGTTAATTGCTCAACTTACTCTACAATATTGCTCAACATACCCCGCCGGAGCAGGTTGAGCAGCTCCGCAAACTTTAGGCACTATTTTAGTTTTAGTTTATTTGAATATAATATACAAGAAATTATTTAATGGTTTTTGATCTTTATGAGAATAATTTTGTTATTGGTAAAAATTCTTTTAAATCTGCTGTTATTTATAGTTACTATAATTACTTATTATTTTTATAATTAATGTTCGATATAAAGATAAAATATAAAGTAGCATTTTTTGTTTTTTTATTATATTTTCTAAACTGCTCCCAGACCGTCCAAAAAAAAAAAGATGTATATGTATACGTATGTATGTGTGTGTGTGTGTGTGTGTGTGTGTGTGTGTGTGTGTGTGTGTGTGAGTGTGTGTGTGTGTGTGTATGTATGTGTGTCTATGTATATGTGTATATATATATGTGTTTATATGTATATGGATAGATATATATGTGTATGTATATGTGTATATATATGTGTATATAAAAGTGACTGGCCTTTTTATGGGCCAGTCACTTTTAGGCTCTGGCCCATAAAAAAGCCTCTAAAAACAAAAATAGCCCCGGGCCCCAAGAATTCTTTATCCGCCACTGTATGGTTGGACAACCAGTAGCTTTTTTTTTTTTTTTTTAAATAACTATAATTTTTTTTAACTAGCGGGGTTTTGCTTTTTTAAAAAAGAAATAATAACTAAATTATCTTATTTAGCAAGTATTTGTCAAACAGTACAAAACTATGGTATCTTTATCAAAAAGTGTCCTATGTGCCTACCTTCTCTCCTATTATATTTAAAATGTTATTTTAGATAAAAATAAATAAAATACCAGGATTCGGGAAATACCAAAATATAGAAAGTTACACGTTGGGAATCTTAAGATGCAAAACTTACATGAAATAAAAAAATCTAATCAATAAGTCCTTGATCTAATCTAACTGGAGCAGATTTTATATGTCTATTTCTTATTAGCGTTTCTTTAAGATATTGAAGATTAGTTCCACTTATACTAATTTTATAATAAGGTTGCAAAATTACATAAGTTTTTTCTCAACTTTTCTTGATTAAATTAAAACTCGTATTTGCGCATCAAAAACTTAATCAAATGAATTTTAAATATTAACTTGACAACAAAAAGTTATATAAATTTAAAAATGGATTTTTTCTATTACCTTATTTAGCTTTTTTAGTCAATTCTCTTAACTTTTTGTATTTCTAATTATAGTATCTCTTGTTTTTCATGAGCTTTTAGTCCTTAAAGAAAAGTAGAACTAATATCTTTTAACAAACTCGGCGTCAATTCTTCGATTTGTCGACGTCCACTAGTCATTTAGAGATGAAGACTCCTTTTTTCTTCCGACGTTTAAACTTTTAAAAATGTTTTAACGTTGGAAGAAAAAAGGACTTATGTATATTAGCATTCATCAGAGAGCTTTATTTAAAAAAAATCTTCTCAGTTAGGAATTTCAGATATTTATGTCCTACCCTCCTCTCCTTCTCCCCAACCCTTCCCTATTTTTTATTAACTTTTTTTTTGCTTTTTTGTGGTTATTTTAAATTTGTATTCGTCAGTTTGTACGTTTTAACGTTTTAATAACACTTCTTTGAGACTGATAAAATTGGACACAATAAAGTGTCACATAGTTCAGCAAGTTTTACATTTATTGATGATTTATAAAGTAGCGTAAATATTTCCTTAATGATTCAGAAGGTTCAAAAAGTTGTTCGAATCCTCCGCAAAATATCTCTTAAAAGTAAGTCTTATAAATGTATTAAAAATGTAATTTTCATGGAGAACTTAAGCTGTAAAAACAAGTTGAATTTCCTCCTTTTACTTCTGAAGTTTTTCAACTTTTTTCTTTTTACTTGAACTTTCAAGTTCTTATCATTAAATCTTCTTTATTATAAAAGTTTTTTTCTAGGTTAATTTTTTTTTGCTTTTTTTGTAAGTTGTTGCCAAATTTTAATAGTCTGCATTCTCTTCTCGTTGTCAACCCAACCAAGTCTTTGCTTGTTAAACTAATTTCATGTTTAATTGTATCTGAAACTTTTTTCTCATTTTGCACATTCTTAGTTGAAATCTTAATTAAAGTACTACAGTACTTAATGTGGTTACTTGAGATGATTTTTCTTTATAATCAGTTTCATCAGGTCTTTTATAGCACGAAGTATTAGGTTTGGAAAGTTCAACACTGGTTTTTCTTGCTATAAGAGACTGAAGAATTTTGAAGAGACTCCCACATAAGGTCAGTAGTTGAATATGTTTGTAGCAATTTGTTGACTTTTTCACGAAACTTTTCATTAGTTTCTATTTCATTGTTGCTGTTTTTTTAAATTTCTTTATGGCAGTTTCTATTAGACTTATAACCATAAGCTTTGACGTTTGACGTTCGTTTAATTGCGTCAAAAATGCCTCAATATATTTAATAAAGATTTGTTTATGAGCTTAAGAATCTTAAAAAAGATAAAAAAAAAAAAAAGATCTTTATTTGATTTTTAAAGATTGCGATAGTTATATTCAAGCAATTTATCTGTGGAACGAGACTTACATCATAATATGTGATGTTTTAAGCACTAATCTGTGTTTGGAAATTTATTGCACTTGTCTGCTTTAATTTCCAAATACTGCAGTATTTGAAAATTTATTGCAGACATTGCTAACTTTCTACTTGTTGAAATTTTAGTAGAATGTTATTTTCTTTATAACTTCAGACGTAAAGTAGATACATCGTAAAGTTGTAGACAAATCTTAACAATGTGAATAATGTAATGCAGGTTACAAATAATCGAAGAAGACACTTAAAAATATTTTTTAGATTTCTAGTTTACGGGTTACAATTTATTTGTAAATACGCAATGGTGATGGTAGCTTTCATTTTTTGTATAATATATATTTTTTTTGTAATATATCACTTGTTGTTATGTAAACTTTGTAAAAAATAGACACATTTTTTGAACTTTTGGGCGTGAAAAAAAAACCATATATTTTGAACTAACATTAGTTGAAGAATGATGTTATAACATTCTTTAACTAATGTTTGCATTAATTATTTATCTCATTTAAATACATTTGATTTTTATAACTTAATTAAATTTTTTGTACTTCTATAGTTCCGTTTAAAACTACTTAAATTAAATTAAAACAAACAAAAAAAAATGTTGCTTCCCAAAAACTTATTCTTTCTTTTGTTTTTAATACGTTTATTTCATCGGTTTTTAACGACGAATATCGACACTTGAAGGATTCGGGGTCTAACGATAATCCGCGTTCTATTATTTCTTAATTACTATCTTTATTTTACTTTCTATAATTTTTGTTTCATATTCAAATGCTGTTTAAGTTGTAATGAAGAACAAAAAAAACAAACAAACAAACAAAAAAAAAATTCTTATGAATAATAAGAAATTTTTCTTTAATTAATCAATACCTTGCAACTACCAGACGATAAACTCGTAGTCACTTTCCACCTGTCCATTTATTTTATTATAAGAAAAATATGGTAAATGAAAAATAAATACGAGAGAATGTTTAGTTTAAACTTTATTTTTCCTGAAGCAAAACTATGCAAATTCTTTTTTTTTCTACGCATAATTATATCTCTCTTTCCCATTCCCGTAGAAAAATGAATAAATGGAAACTCCCTTAAAGAGATGTAAAGTTTGTATAAAAGCCCGAAGAGAATATTTTTAATACTGATTTAGATATTTGTTAAAGTTATAAGTTTCTCAGATTTATATGAGCACAAAAATATAAAAGATTTATTGAAATATTTATGTTATAATGAAATCGCGCTGACATTATTGAATTAATAAAACCATTAAAAAACATTTAAATATAAAGTCGCAAATTATTTTAAACAAAATGTTCAAGTTAATACCGCTGATCAGCTCTTTTTCCAATTGGAATCGAAAACAATATCGATTATAAAAAACTATACTTAAAATTATGATTTGTTTTTTCAATTATGTATAACAAAAGATAGTAATCATGTCCACATTTTCTTTCAGGTTTGATCATAAAGGGAGCTCTAAATTGTAAAAAGTTTCTACAGCTTTAACATTATAGCTTTTAAACCGTTCCAAGAAGAGTCTGCCTCATTTGAATTATTGCTCTTTTTCTTAAAGTATCAACTTTCGACATTACTTCTGGAAGATAGTAAATTGATATAAAGTGGTTAACAAGTACAGGCTGTTGAATGCAAAATACAATTATTCCAGTAACAGCTACAAATGATCCAAAACATTTTCCTAGCGATGTTGTTGGTACAACGTCTCCATATCCAACGGCTGTTGCAGTAATAATGCTATACCACATTGAATCTAAAATACTTTGAAACTGGTTTTTCTCAAGATCGGGATTGAACTCATTTTCTATTAAAAACATTAACGCGGCATTCACGAAACAAAACGTTCCAACAGCAATAAAAAATACTTGCAAGCTTTGGCTGCATTTATAGAGAGTGTAAATAAACAATCTTAACGCCACACTAAATTTTGTTAGTTTGAAAATTCGAATAACCCGAACAAACTGTATTGCTACAGCGAACTTGTTTTTAAGTGCTGAAAAATAAAACGTGACGTGTAGCACGCAAAAAATAATAGACATAAAATCCAAAATAATGTTTAATGAGCAGCGGAATTCCTTTAGGTTTGGCGAAGAATATGCCGTAATTATAAACTCAAAACTAAAAAGTATTCCCGTTATAATTTCTATTTGAATCCAAGTTTTATTATTTTTTAAAGACGGAACAGTTTCCAAGCAATAAGCTATAATTGATAGTATTGTAACTGCTAAGTTTATATTTGTATAGATAATTTGAAAAAAAGAGTCATTAAAATAGTTTACAAACTTCCATATACTTGAACGATAATTTCCATTAGGTAAGTCTCCAATTTTCTTATTGTTTTGTTTTAAAAACTGTAAATCTTCAATATGTCTTTCATCTATAAACCCCTCAATTTCATAAAAGTTTAGCTCTTCATAAAACTGCTCTCTGGGAACTATAGGAGGTTTTGCGAGCGTCCCTTTTGATTGGTAGTAAAATAAAACAGAATCAAAAGAATACACACATCTATCTAGAACGTATATGCCAAGACCTTTATCAAAAAATTGATCTCTTTTGTAAATATTGCCAAGCAAGGTATTAGGGTAAGTCTCTAAGGTTCTTTCAAATGTTTCGAATATTGTTCCACGAACCGATATTTTTATCCTTCTTTCATTTAGTATCAAGCTTCCTAACTGAAGTGCGTGGAAATGTAGGGCTGTGTTACACTCGTATAGATCTATATTATTAAGTTGTTTTACTTTCGAATGGTTCGGTCCCAAAGGATGTTTCGTGTTTGGATTAACAGGCGGCGTTAATGTCATACCTGCTACAGACGCACACCGTACGAGCATAATACCTTTTGTTTTATTTTTTAAACAACGAAAATGAAGAGCAAAAAAATGGCTTTTGTTCACTCGATCAACTTTTGAACTCTTAAGGTTAAAAATTCTTTTTGATAATATTATTTTTCAACCTTGATAGGGTACGTCGTATTTCTCTTGTCTTTCCAATTGCATGTTATTAACTATTTACAAAAGAATTTAGAACTTGATCATTTTCATTTTGATTAATTTCTTGTAATTTAATAATTAATGACCGCAAGCTTTGTGTTTTCTCAATCAGAGATAATCTATTAAATCATCGATGTAGAACAAAATAGAAAAATAATAAAAAAAAAGAAAAGACAACAAAAAGAATTTCAATTTTGATTTTTTTTAATTCTTCTAAAGGAGTTAAGAAATAAATGTTATTTATTAAAAAATGTTATTCACAAACTGTTCGTCTCAAAAAATAGCCTATATTTGGTGAACCTCCTTCTTTTTTGTTATACTCAACATTTTGCTGTTTGAGCATCAACATATTTTCCGGGGGTATAAAGTAAGTATTTTTTATGAGAGCTAATAGTTTTACATAGATATAAATTTTTTTGTTGTTATTTATTGGTAAAAGCAAATTTATATAAATGGTTTGTATAAAACTCGGCTTAATCATGCGTTCCAATAAAATTCTTTTCAAGTTGTTTTTTACCTTTTTATAAATATATGTTTCCAGATCTTCTATTATATTTTACGTTGGTGCCACCTTTTTAAAAATGCGTGTTTAATTTATTTAATTAGCATCTGCTTCTGAAACGCGTGTAAATTTGAAGCTGGTTTTTTTTTACAAACTAAAGCGACCCAAATTACTTTTTGAAAATATTTTCATTGACAATTTCAAATCTCAGTGTAATACACGACAACATATGAATATATAAGATAATAAAAGGTGCAATGCACTACAATAAATAATTATATATGGTGCTACTACGCGGATTGGCAATTAGGCAAAGTTTATTTAAAACGGACCTTACACTAGGCAGTTTTAAGGTCTGCTTTAAATAGAGGCTCGTAGTTTTAGCGTAGAAAAAAAAAATGTAATGAGTAAGTTTAGGATAAGTGTGTTTGACAATGCAAAATATTTAAAAAATACAAACTCATCAACCAAATTAAGTATATTAGTCAATTGAAAATGATTTTACCCAGGGTCTTTTTTCACAAAAGCAGTTAGATAGCTTTTCTACAAACTTTTTATAACTTTTGATTTTTTTTTTTTAATTCTTAAACGTTAGAGTTTACAGAGAAAATTACTCCCCCAAGCAATTTTTTTATTACATTTTTAATGAAAAAATCAGATAATAAAACAAAAATTTATCAAAAAATTTTGTGGAACATTTTCTGAGGTTGGAAAATTTTAGGGGCACGTTAGAAAGTATTTGGCGCTTCACAACAAACTTATCGACAAACACAATTAAACTTAGTTTAAAAATGGCGCGAAAATATAAAAAGAAACGTAAGAGATATTTATGAACAATGAAAATTTAAAAATTATGGTAAAACATGTTTTGAATAAACAATGGAAGTAACAGAAGCTGCAGGCGTATTTGTATTTCCTAAAAGTACGTTGGCATACAGAATAAAAATGCTTAGAAATAATAGAGATTCAAAGATGTGATAACCTTTCATTATTTCCCATGTGGAGGAAGTTATTTTTGAAATTTATATGTTGAAATTAAAGTTCAAAAATCATTAAATATCAAAAACATTTATATGTTTTTGATTTTGATGAACAAAATATATGAAAGGTTTTTATTTTATAATAACCCAGCTAAATTTTTTTTTAGAATGTTTAAACAAATGCTTCTTGCATCAAAATGTAACTGAACTAACTTTAAAAAAAAAGACAGTTTTCGTTACAATTGATAGATATATGATACAAATGATGGAAATTTGATCAGTTAATTAGTAACTTTAAACTTTTAAAATTGAGGGTGACATCAAAAGTTTGTAAATAAACGAATGTTACAAAAAATAGAAGAAATTCAGAAAAATTAAAATGCATGATAGAAGGAAGAAATTCAGGGATATTCATTTACTTTATTAATTAATTTAAAAAGAATTAAAAAATAGATTCAAGAATTTAAGATTTTAAATATGATATTTTTTTAAACTCAAAGTTTAACCCCAAGAAAGTTTATGCATATATTAATATTTATATTGCAATGGAGTTTTTAATGTATATTCTTTACGTAGAACTTTTTTAAAAAAATATAGCATTATAAGCTGTGTGGCCTTTAAATGTTATTATTAAAGAAGCTATATTAAAAGATTTTGGTGACACCAGCCGTTCATACTTCTTTGAGCCCCTGTCTATTTTAATATGTACTCTTTGTGTAATATAAAACTTTCATTGTAACTTTATTATTAATTTTATATGAACAGCAAAAAATATAAACTTAAATAAATAAATAAATAACAAAACTAAAGTTAAGACAATATAAAAGCAATCCAACTTAAAAATGGTAGCATCAAAACTGATTTAAAAGTAATAGCAAATGCACTGTATATTTTGCATAGGTATTCAATAAACCGCAAGCTTTATCTGTTTTAATCATAAATATAGAAACACAAAGAATCAGAAGATATCCGAATTTTGATGCTTCTGTTGTAGAGGAATACTAAAGCAAGTTTGACATTAATAAAGCAACTGTAATGGATAAAGTTTATTCAAACTTTATCCATTACAGTTGTAAATGGGTAAAGGATAGCATATCCGCTTTAGCCGAACCTCTATCTTTAGTGTTTAACAAATCATTTGAAACAAGTTAATTTTTTTAAATTATGGTCGTGTGCTAATATCATTCCGTTGTTTAAAAATTTAAAAATAATAAATTTTTTTCACTATATAATAGGGTGATTCATATTTGACGAATTTTCGAAAATCAAGTTGGTCCTACCTGGAATGGTTGACCACCAATATAAAAATAATTTTAAGCCCAAAATATTTAATGTCACGTGACTTTAAAGGTCCCCGCCGGTCAAATTTGTGTACAAAATGTATCAAACTTTAGGGGACTGGCGGGGACCTTTAAAATCAACTCAGAAAGCCAAATTTTCTTTTATATGGTATATTTTGGACTATTTATTTATAATAGAGTAGGACCAAAATGAAATATGGTGGTATTTATTCCACATAGTGTGGAGAAAGTGACGAAAAAAACGAATTTTTACATAAAATGACGCACCACTTTGTATAACTGACGCTTGTTTATTCTTCATATTTAGGCCGAATTTTAAAAATTAATGTTAGGACTAAGCATTAATAATGTTTATATAGAAGGGGCATGTCAATAGCTATCCGCCCCCTCACCCTATTTTCGGAGATGTCTCACCCCTCCCTCCCCCCCCATACTTTGTTCGTTGGAGACGGGAGGGGGGCAAGCAAATTTATTTAAATTTTATTGTAAATCATATTATTTAAAATCACTTTTTTATTTTTAGAAAAAAAGACAATATAAATATTAAATTATGATAACATTTTGATGCCTGAATATTTTGGAATTTTTATTAGTTTCCGTGGTAATTTTATAAACTAACAAATTGTCGTATTTGCGCAAGACATATTGTCGTAATTTTAAATTCTCTGCTCTGTGTTCTGTGTATCTGGTGTATCCATAACATTCTATAAAATGTATACTATCTGCGGTTATATACAAAATTGTTATTGTAAAATACATGTCATTTAATCAAAGAATGAATATGAATTGTTTTCTTTAATCAAATTACTGTTTAGAAACCAAGATGCCAAGATCAACAAGACTTAAAACAAAGGCTTATCTTTTTGAAGAAGAGGATCTTATAGAAAACCTACCAGAAATAATGTTTTCTACAAATAAAGACATTATTTTCTACTTTCAGTTTAGAAGATCTGGAGACAAAATAACTCCAACAAAAAAGCTGATTGCTTGTACCATTGGTCATCAAACAGGAAAGTGTTCTGGTCTTGGTAGCTGTCCTGAAAACTGCATTATGTTTGCAGTTAAGAAACCTTGGATAGACGGAGGATACGAGGATGGGATACTCACTGACCCATTTATAAGGTAGGTTAAACAAAATTTAATTCATATTTAATGGACAGGTTACCATAAAATACACTACAAAAATTTTAGATAATATAATATTTTCTAAACCAGTTATATATTATTATAGGAAGCATATCACTGATCTGATCAACAGCTGGGAGAGTTTAAAGAAAAGTAAGTGTAAGAACTCGAAAGAAGCAGGAAAAGCTAGACAAGATTTCAAAAAAAAAGGTAATAAGGTTTTCTGGATTGCTAAACCAAATATCCAAGATATTCTAAAGAAGACAAGCCTTAATAAGGTCTCGTATCGTACTGATATGAAATTATTGAGAGATCAAAAGGCCAGACGTAAAATGACTCTGGGTAAAAAAGACAAGCTATATAACCGGAGGGTTGAGAAGAGAGAACAGAGAAGATTGAAACATCCACAGTTAGTACATAGTGTTGAACAGTTTTCTCAGAGAGATGATTTGACTACAGAGCTTCAGTTTTCTTCTGAAACTAGTGATACAAGTACCAGCATGGACTCAGATTGTTCTTTTGATTTCGAACAGCCAGGTCCAAGTAATGATACGTCACAGTTAGCCAAGAATTTTGTACAAAATATTGCCATGACTTCAGTTTCCAAAAATGTTTCCTCTAGAGATTTGTTGCATGTGTGTACAGATTTGGTTGTTAATTCAGGTGGAAATGTTGAAAACTTTTTACTGTCTCAATCAACTATTTAGCGAGCACAAAAGAAAACCATCCATCAAAATGCTGCACAGCACAAAAGGGAAGTTAAAAAAGCTGCTGAGAAAGCACTTTTCCCCATAATAGCTCACTTTGATGGAAAAATTATAGAAGATTTCACTAATGGGAAAAAAGAAAAAAGAGACAGGTTTGTTGTTTCAGTTAATATTGATGGAGACATTAAGCTTCTTGGAATTCCAGCTATGGAGAATGGAACTGGAGCTGCTCAGTATGAAGCTTTGAATAATGTACTGGAAGATTATGGAATATGTGACGATGTGAAGGGATTATGTTTTGACACAACTGCCTCAAATACTGGAAGACATTCAGGAACCAATACTAGGTTCAGTCAAAGACAGGAATCTATTTTGTTAGAGCTTGCCTGCAGGAGGCATATTTATGA